TTTCCCTATTGAAAATTTTTAATGTCTTCAGCATTTTTTTGCCAATTATTATTACTAAATTGTAAGATAATTAGATATATATATTCTTTCAAAATACACAGTGCAAAATCTTGGGAATATTGCATAAGACATTATTATGAATAATTACTTTTAATGAAAGAGTCATGTCATTGAAAAAGAGAAGGGTACTTAAAAAATACAGCAGTTTTAGCTGGAAAACTCCTGTAAGCCAGGCACCAAAGAGATATGTAGCATTTGGGAATTTCTAATTAGTTGATTTGGGATTAGCATATGTGAAAACAGAGTTTAAATGTTCATAGAAAAATTTAAAAAACTTGGAGAGTTGTTATACAAAATAGTGTTGATCACTGGGGTACAAATATGTTGCTGATTTTTGGTTTATAATTTCAGTTGTTTCTGTATAAGTAGTGAATCTTGTTATTCTTATATGTAGCTGAGACAGTTAAATACAGACTTTAATTGTATTGTGGAAGGTAAAAAGAAACAACCATGAAAGTACATTAAATTGAAGTTTAGTGAGGCGCATTTGGGTTTGGAACAGGAATTCCAGTAGTCTGGTAGTAGTTCTTAATCAAGTTTTATCTTCAAGTTCTCAGGAAAAGTTAGTGTGTAATTTTAACCACATTTTAAGATTACCTTTTTAGATCTTTTATTTGATTCAATTTGTGTAGGGATGTTTGACAGCACAGTTTTTTTTTTTTTCAAAATATAAATTGTATTTTCAGTATGATTAAAGGAGGTTTACTTGTAATGAATGAAGCTAAAAAGCTTCAACTTTCAGCAGATTTAAAACTACCCCAGATTCAAGTAGTTTTTCCATACAAAAAGTTTCCCATGAGGTTTTAATAAAATCAAGCCAAAAACATGTACATATGGTATACAGATGGTACTGGAATGTACTGTTGTTCTTCCTATAGTGGTTTTAATTAAAAAAAGAAGGACAGGATTTTTCATGCCTTAAATACATGATCTCAAAAGAATTAATGAATAAATAATGTGTTCCTAATAAAAGGAATGATGAGTGGTCAGTAGATTTGGAAGGCAAGAAGTAAATGCTTTCATAAGCTGTGTGACATAAGCTTGGGTCTAACTCTTTAACCATGAGGTAAAGACAACCGTATCAATAGTTTTGAAGTTACATATTCACCCTGATTTGTAATATCCCACAAACAAGATGGTTTATAAAAATTTTATTATTGTGTCATTCAGAAAAGGAATTTTTTCCTTTTTTTTTTTTTAATTTGTTAGATGTATTTGAGGATTATGCATCCCCTACAACAGCAGCACAGAATCTCCTTTATACTGCTGCGAAGAAGAGAAAAGAGGTATGGAACTAGTGGTTTTCAGTTATTTGAAATTTTCTTAGTAATGTAATTTTCCCTTAAATTTGAAGATGCTACAGGAAGCTAGTCTTGAAAAATCTACTTGCTAATACATAGTCAAATGCTTTCCTGTCTTAGTGCTATCAGTTTTGGGATAATTAAAATATATGTGTATGTATAAATAAATAAATAAGTGGATTCCTCTTGCAGCTTTAAAATTAACCTGCTGGATATGAATTGAGTTGGAATAGATGTACTGGTATTTTCCCAAGTTTACAACCAGCCTCTGTCACAGCTGTTCTGAGCTTCCCGAACTGTAGCAGGGGGAAAAATGAACCTGATCCTTATTAATTTTCACTGATGCTATTTAAAATCCTGTTGACAGCAGTGAAATTAGCAAGAATGAAACCAATTTCATACAGTTGCTCTTTAAATGAGGGCATAACTTTTCTGTAGATCTTTCTGTACTTCCAGTTATCTGTGCAAAAGTACCTGGCCTAGCCCTGGAAAGCATATGTCAGTTTGCTAAAACTGTCAACTTTTTCCTGGGTACCATTTTAACATCCAGCAAACATGGAGCTCTGTTTCCAGATGGATTTTCAGAGAAGAGCATAGTCTTCACATCAGGTGGAATAGCCTATGACCTTTCTAATTCTTTATTGTCAAAACTGTCCTTGCCCACTGGCCTCCTGATTTTCATAATTTGTACTGAGACTGTCAAAATGTCATAATATCTGAAGAGAACATAATGGGAGTGGAAATGACATTAAAAATCAGTTTTGCCAAGAAACTTTTCTAAGTCTAGTCAACTTTAGAAGTTACTGCCAAAATCCATAGATTACAATAAGTTTATGAGGTTTTAGTCCAAGCTGTTCTTGAATATGTATATGTTCATACATATATGTACACACACATATGTATTTATGTATGTGTGAGGCAAGCCAGAAGAGAAGTTAAGGGAAAAAAATGGGTGAGGTACTGTTTGAGCCTCTTGCCTTTTCATCACCTTTTTTGTTTTGCCTCAAGACAGCAACAAAAATACCTTATTTACTATCACTAATGTGAAATTTCAAGGAGGTTAATTTAATTTTGACAAGTTTGGCTGAAAAGTTGAAAAAGGAACCTTCTAAATTTAACTACGGAAAGATGCTACACATAGTACCTCACAGTTACTTTGGCCAAGATAAAATGTCTACTTAAAAATGTCGTATGAATTTTTTAACTTAAACAATGCTATTAAAATAATTTGACAAAAGGAGATTGTGTGTTTTCTGTCTTGCATAGGTGTTACCAAAAATGATGGCTTATTGCTACCAGATTCTGACAGAGCCAAACATTGATCCAAGGAAAAAAGATGGAGCTTTGCATGTTATAGGATCCCTAGCAGATATTTTACTGAAGGTAGGTGGGTAAAGAAGTGAAAAAGGGTTGTAATTCTTATTATCAGTTGCCATTTCCATTTCAAAAGTCTTATATTACAAAGTATGGCTAACCCTTAGCCATGTTTATAAAGTCTGTAGAGAGATTGCACTGTGCAATAAGGATCTGAGGGTTGTTCATTTAAAAATATTAACGTTCTTTCCTGGATTTTATATGCAGATTTTTCTTCTCAAGTTTCTCCAAAGCTCTGTTTGTTTGCTACAGAACAGTCCCTTGGTCCTCTCCTGCTTTACTAGTAAAACGGAAGGGTGTTAAAAAAGCAAACATGCATTCCATCAGTAACATTGCCAGTGAAAGAGGAAGACAATGTTTGTGTTATGAGGAGCCTTTCATATTGACTGTGGGTTTCTAAACCCATTTATCTCTGTCCTGAGGAAAAAAAAATAGGATTTATTCCAGTATACTGCTCCTATTTGAAATTTTCAGTCTTGAAACATGAGGTTATAATATACTTTATAAAAGACTAATAATCCCCAAACACTGCAGACCCCTCTCAACTGTGAATGTCTTGTGTTTGGGATTTGGCAGACTGAAAAATTCCATGAACCGTTTCTGCATAAAATACTCCATTTGTAAGTGCTTTCTGACTGCTGAGGTGACTGAGATACAGACTGTAAGGAGCTCGTAGTCACAGTGGACCTGCCTTAGCCACCTGGCTCTCTGCAGCGGCTCCAGTTTAATGCCTGCAAACCTCTGACCTGTGTGCACAAGGGAAAATTATTTTCCCTTTTCTGTATTTTTTCTCTGGTCAGTTCTTCATCTGCTTCTCTGAAGGTTGGAGAATCAGTGTGGGAAAAAATTATGTATGCATTGATGAACTAGAAATGTAATCACCTAAGATACATTTTGTATTGAATGTCCCCTTTCACCCTCTTCCTGTCCTAACCACTGAAGCATTCCTTGATACGGTAACACAGTCCCAAGCATATATCTTTTCTAGTCTCCTGGCGCTGTAGGTGCTAGGAAAGTCCCAAACTCCATGCTGGTGGTCCTGGCTTCCTGTGAGTATCTTGGAATTTGCCAAGGTTGGAATAATGAAGGATAATTTTCATCAAATATCCTTCTCCAGCCAAGGAGATCTCTATCACAAAGAAATTATCTTAGTCCATTAATAAACACGAAAAAAGATGTGAGTTATTGTTGTGGTCTGTAAAAATAATTAGTTTTGATGCTTATAGTAACAGTAGGTCATTTGAAGCTCAGATCTGTGTCGAACTAAGCTTATATTTGTCTTCAAGTATGTATGTACTCCTTTGTAGGAAGAATGGAGGTACTAGGTTATTGATCCTAATTAATTTTTAAGAAAAGTCAGCTGAATCAGTTGCCTTAAAGAAAATGAAAATTCCAGTTTATAGTATTATGATGAGTAATGTAGATCTGAATATTGTATGTATAGTTCATTCACTTATCTGGCTTTGAACTTGCTATGCTTGTGAGGTGTGTTCAGTTCAAGGTATGAGATCCAGATGTCTTTGTGAGAGAATACCTTTATTACATAGACAAATAACTGTATTTCCCACAGTTGATAGTTGAAATGGATTACTGGCTAGAATGAAGTATGTAAAATGAATGGTCTCCAAAATTAATTTTTATTTACACAAACAGAAGAGTGTCTTCAAGGACCAAATGGAGCTGATGTTACAGAATCATGTGTTTCCATTGTTCATGTCTAACCTGGGGTACCTCAGAGCTAGAGTAAGTTCACCAGTTATATCAACTTCAGTATTTGCCATGATTCTTTTCTTTGCAGTTTGACTTCTTTCTGAATGTTAATGAAAGAAATAAAGGTAATATATAGTAAAATTTCAAGTAATGACCTTGTACAGTAATTTTTTCAGCATTTTGATTTAAGAAATGATTTGTCAGTTAAATGAATTAATGGAAAGTCAGTCTCATATTATTATTTACCTCTTTGATCAGACTGAAGAATTTGAGCAGTGATTGTGCCCCTTTTGTGACCATTTTTCATTAGCAGATCTCAGTAACTAAAGTGGCTGGATGGCTGTGAAGAATATGTAGGATTTCCACAGAGTAAATAATGTCAATTTGAGTGTAGCTTGAAGAAAATCCCTGAATGACCATATCAGTCTCAAACAAACAGTTAGTCTTCTTTAATTTCTGATCTGTTTTTTTTCCCCCAGAAGGACCAAAACTATGAATGCCAATTATGTGCGTACTGAATTTATTGGAATTTGGGAAAGAAAAATAAAGAACTACTTGAGTGCAAAAACTGTGTTACATTTACTGTATGAATACACCGTAATTAAGGAGGAAAAAAAAAAAGCAATACATGCAAACAGAGAGATAGTTAGCATTGGTTTTGAATCGGTTAAAAAATGCTAAAAATTGCAATAGTCCCTAACTTGCTTTTCTTTTTGTCATGCAGTCCTGTTGGGTACTTCATTCATTCAGTGCTTTGAAATTTCACAATGAGCTAAACTTGAGGAATGCAGTAGAGTTGGCAAAGAAGAGCCTGATTGATGATAAGGAAATGCCTGTCAAAGTAGAAGCAGCCATAGCTCTTCAGACGTTAATAAGCAACCAAGAGCAAGGTATGCTACAGTGATTCAGCAGTTGTATACATGGATTTTTTTGGGTGTGTGGGGGTTGGGTTTTTTTTTTTGAGATGAGGAGGTTGGTGCAGATTTATCTAAACTTTTCTACCATTTAAAGACATAGATTTCAGAACATTTCATCATACTTAGACAGCTTCACTTGCTCGTTAGTTACCGTATACATCCCAGAATGCTGACTTCAAGTTTTTGCGGTGGGTTTCTGCACAAAAAAGTTAGAATCAACATATTTCTTTTAGTAAAGTAAATAGCACCTGTCTTTGTTTTTCTTTAGTGGAGTAGTATGTATGTTTAAGAATGAATGCTGCCTATGTATGAGGGCATGTATTCCCCCAAAACAGTGGATTTTTGTTGTAGATGGCGTTTCAGTATTGAATGTGGTTAATGTACAATTTATTTACTTTGTTAGTCTACTAGTTATGGGCTGTAAAAGTGCCTTGAGTAGTTTTTGTTTTTAGTGAGTTAAACTTTAAAAAATTACTTTGTTCAAGAGTAGTCAGTTACCTAGACACTGTATGTTTGTGTTTATGGATCGTCGATTTCACCTACTTTCAATTTTTTTTATAGCCAAGGAATATGTGAAGCCTTATGTAAGGCCAGTTATGCAAGAGCTCTTGCACATTGTTAGAGAGACAGAAAATGATGATCTTACTAATGTAATCCAGAAGATGATCTGTGAGTACAGTCACGAAGTAGCTACTATCGCTGTTGACATGACTCAACACCTGGTAAGAGACAATGGTAAAATAACAGTCCAGTCACAAGCATGTGCCTAGTTTGGTAAACATTTAATGAACTTTGTTTGAAGTGCACACTGTTTAAAGTAATCTTTATGAAGGTCCCCCTATAGTATTCACAATACTTTTTTTTCTCTATGAAGCATCTTTAAAACCTATAGGTTTTTCAAAAATACTAAATTTTTCCACTGGTTTTAATGAGCCAAGCTCTAACTATTTAACATTTCAGATGACTTAACATAGACAGAATTCTCAAAAAAAGAGTAGTTTTTAATTTTCTACATTCCCCTTTCAAAAGTAAGGAGAATATTTTTCAGTGCCCACAGCTCTCACAGATAAGGCATTGCTGCTGTTACAATAGCTGTCTTGGTTTTGCATGACAAGTTAGAAATGTGAGTTGGCTCTTGATTGTCAAGTTAACTTTTTTTTTCATAGGCTGAAATATTCGGTAAAGTACTTCAGAGTGAGGAATATGAGGAAGTAGAGGACAAAACAGTTATGGCCATGGGCATCTTGCACACAATTGACACTATCTTGACAGTTGTGGAAGATCACAAGGAGGTGAGATTTTCTTTTATACATATTTTCTCCTGCTGTTCCCTCATGCCTTTCATTCATGACAACAAACTCTTCTATGTATATTGCATCACCTGGTTTGACATGAATGTGCATTTACTATAGCAGGATGGTGAATTAGTACCAAGGGATCTCTGACAAATTTGAATTTAAAGCCCGGTTTACTTTTGTGATTTCTTAATTGCTTAGCTGTCAACTTTGAGGGGAATTTACATCCTGAGGTTAAAATCCTTAGCCTTTATTCTGGTAAATGCTTCATCGGCTAATTCTATTACAAACTGTTAAAATAGATTTTAGTGAGAAATATTTTGCATAAGGCTAATCTTTTACAATGGTGACTCATATTTTGTTGTTTACCCAGCAATTACTTGGATAGGATTCCTAGGAATCGGTCTACCAGTTGTGGTCCAATGTAAGTCTGCGTTTCACATATTCAGGGAAGAATGAGATTCTTTCTGGTCATACCACCTGGGCTGACTGAGGTAGGAAGTTGTTCAGTGACTGACCAGAGAGGCAAAGTCGGTCAGTAACATTAAGCTCAGTTGGGATAAAAGTGCTTTGTCCTAGATTGTTTTGCTTCTTTGTTTTACAATGAGAATGTTTCATTGCAAGTGTGAAATCTTTTTATGAAGCTTATAATTTTAAAAATACATTAATTAAGGTACTATTTATTTTCTTGTAAGGCCATTGTTTTCCTTTGGATTTCAAAACATCTTTCATTCCTTTACAAGAACCCCTTTGCATCTTTTGAAAACTAAAATGAAATCTGGTACCAAAGCTGAGCATCGGGACTGATAGTCTGAAGTGGATTTTCAGGTTTTAGCCTAGGAAAACATTTGGGGTTGGAGTGTTTTTGGTAGAAACTTAGCAGCTTGTTTTTCTGTTGTGTGAAGTACAAACTAAAATATTGTGCAGAGTGCTCTTCATTTCAGGATCTTAAATAATTTCCGAAGTGATATAAATGATACAGAAATTATATATGAGGCTGAAAACTCCTTAGAAATTCCTTTCGCTTTCACCGTTAAGTATGGGGAGAGTTTAGGGTATGGTAACTTTTGAGTCAAGTGTCCGAAGGTAAGTGGATGAATCTGTGGTCACATACTGTCACCGTTTAAGGCTGGGCCGGCTCTTAAAACAGGCAGCAGACGCTCTCTGTTAACCCCCTCCCTCCCCCCAGGTTGAGAAAGGATGAAGAAAAGGGAGAGAGACTTATGGGTTG